CTGGAAACGGCTCCTGCCAGGCGATTCCCAGCCGGCGCATGATCGGTCTCCGGCTCCACAGTGCTTCCTCGGCACTGATGAAGGTCTCTCGTCTGTTTGAGCGAAATTCGGTTTCGTACCTGCCCCCTCAACACCTTTCAAACCGAAAAGAAGGAAAAAAAAAAAAAAAAGGGTCCCTTTATGGCCGCTTCCTGTTGCAGCCTGCTGAAGAAGGACTTCTGTGTTCCCAAGGGGACCCTGAGCAGTGTGCTTTACGGTTTTAGTTCTTCTTTTCTGAACCAGCGACTTGCTTTAGCTCTCCTCTGCAATGGCCGGTTGCTTTTCTAATCATGGCAGGTGGCGTGGCATCAGCAAACTTAAGATACGGTGATGGCTGGAGAACCAAAAGGATTAGGTTAAGATTGTTGAGTCTTTTATGTCTGGGTGGTTCATGAGCAGTTTCAGCGTAAGTATTCCACGTAAAATGTCACTTGTGCAAAATAATTGAACAAATAACAGAGTAGTGCAAGAAAACTAGTTTTGAAAACTTCCGTTAGTGGCCTTTTTAGCAAGTTTACATATAACTAGATACACGGAGAGCACTTGATTTTATTAACTTAGGTAGAGTAGGCAAGTAGGGAACTGCTTGGCCAAATTTTGTTTTGGAATTAAAGCCCCTTGCTTGTCCGCAGATAGCTGTTGTGCAGTCTGCCACCCTGTACGTTGTTTTCCTTCTCTTGTTGTCCACAGTAATGTACACCTCTGCTAAATAAGCATGTGGGTCTTATTTGGCTTTGCTTTCAACATGTTGTTCAACACTGAAATTGTGAGAGCTTACTTTCTTTAGAGAAAGGGTGATTGTGTGTGGCTGGGTTTTTTGAGGGGTCTTTTGTGACCTTTTAGTGCTTTAATGAGGTAACAACAAGATGTAATGTCAGACTGGAGGGAGAGCTATTTCTCAGATGTATCCAAAAGAAATCCCAAACTTTTTTTTTTCCTGGCACTTCTACTTCTAGAGAAACCTAAGATGGTACAACTACATCTGTGTGTCAGTGTCAATGTGGAATTTATAATGAACTCTTATTTTTCTCTGGCTCCTTTAGGTTGTATGGAACTCTGTTTGTTGCCTTAATTTTAGTAAAGTGTCTTCCATTAAGTTAAAAATAGGGAGTGTGTAGTAAAAAAAAGGCTCTAGCAGCCCTTGTTTTGCTTTTGAGTGCTCAAACCAACCATCGGTTTCCTTAAATTGAAAATAGTGGGGGAAAAAAATAGTAGAGGGTCAAACGAGGTATTTAGATTTCAAGCTGCACTTTATTTTCTGTCAATTTAGTAATAAATCATGATAAATGGATCTTTTATCTCCTTAGGATTGGAATTTTACGTAAATGTTTCACAATGAATAAAAACTTCCCAGCAAAAAGGCTTGTAAGAATTCCTTAAGTGTTTTTTATATATATAATGTTCTTTCTCCTTAGTGTTTTGTTTTCATTTTCTACAGAGCAGATGGTATGTTGCCCTGGTACAGTGTAACCCACTTAATCCCTTAGGGATGGGCTTTGGTCACATAAGTTACATTGGGAACAATATGAATGTATAATGTAGCCTGACCAATAGCGGCTGCTATTGCTAAGAGTCCCTGGAGGAAAAGGGAAACTAATGCAAGGGAGAAAGATGAGCACATACGAGCAGGAATAATCACTTGATAAGTTATTGAAAGAGTGGAAGCAGTAACAGAGAAGTAGATTGCAAGGAGAATGTCACTTAACTCAAAACTGTTAGAAATGTTGGATGAAGAGCAGCAGCGCCTAAGGGTGTTTTGAAGTTGGCTGAAAGTTAGTAGTATATTTAAGTTGGGAGATGCTCAGCTGTGAGCTGCTGAGAAATGACAACTCTTATTAAGTCAGAATAAATAATAGTTTGCTCATCCTCCTTGAACGTGGGGAATGAGATGGAAAGTGAAGGCCAGGTCTCTGCAAGATTAAGCTAGCAGAGATATAAATGTAGGTATTTCTCGTGACAAGTTTTGCCGATGGAATTTGTGGCCAGATGTAAGTTAGAATAAATGAAGTGATTCTGGCAGTAGGTACTGGGATGATTTCATGATCCAGGGGATATGTGGACTTAAGGATTCCTTCCCTTGGCTGCTGGTTCTTTCATAGTCCTGAGTCATGCCAGGTAATTGTTTGAACTAGAGTCCTGAAGTACATATAACCTTATAAAGAAATCCCAAAAAATAGCTTTTTGGTATACAAAGGAGTGGCAACAGCTGTATGTCATTTCTGTTTGGGTTGTGTTCATATTACAAATTGTTATTAATAAATTCTAGTGATATTCTGGTGTTAGATAAAGTATGTCTGGGCTGCTTACAACTAGAGGCAATTTTCAGATAACCCGTCATCAAATTATTAAAGATCTGTCCAACAGAAGATATGAACTACCGTCACAGTGCAATGGTGAAATCGTAGATAAAAGAAGGAAGACTTGCCAGGTGATTAGGATCTCTGTAGGTCAAGCCGTATGATTGAAGGGCTTCCAGAGAACCAGGCAGCTCACAAGTGGCTGTCAATAGGGGGGTGTTGCTGATCCCCAGCTCTCACATTGCTACCCCGTGGAGGGGAGGGCTGTTTTGGAGGCTGATTAATGTCCGAGCCTGTAATGCATTCAGAACTACAAAGCGTGTAGCATCTCGACTTCATATCTGTATGCTTCCCTCTGAATCGAGAGCAAAATGTTTCAAGGACAAACAGGCTTGTGGCCTCTTCAGAACTAAAAATCCATTATTGTGCCAGTTAATTGGCCAAGGTGTAAACCAGTACCTTCTAAATACAAGAACGAGGATTGGCTAAGCAGAGAAAAGGGAGAAAACGTGCTTCTGTCCTTTCTTTTCAGGCTTCTGGAAACTTGCAGTTCTGCTGTAGGTGACAAATATAACTCCTCTGTAGTGATTGAGGGCTGAGAAATGTAAAAACTCCACAAAAAGTAAGTGTAAGTGTTGAAAGCTACTCTACATAGTTCTGGAGAGTGAGTCTGCTTTATCTTGGATTTTTTTTCCTTCTCTGAGTCAAGCGGGTGCTCTTTAACAACTTGAGTTAAAGGACAGTGTGCCACATATCTCGAAGGAAACCTTTGGGTTTAGTCTTGGTTTCATATAGCAGGTGGTTCATCAGTGGCCACTGGCTGAAAATGGTGATTGAAGCAATTTTTCTTGCCTGTTTCAGAGTTAGAAAATAGGTATAAGAAACAATAGTCTGGTAATTTGAAGTGTCCCTCACATCTTTTTCCTCAAGAATACTGAGGGTATTCAATGGTGTTATTACAACAGATCCAGTTTTTGGTGCCTTTTATTTAAAAAGGGGGGGTAGAGGTGAGATTTCAGTTGCTATGTGGTTGGTTTGGTTTGGGGTTTTTTTTATGGTGTGCTGCTGTGCCTGCATATCAGTATGGTAAGAGTGAAACTCTGAACTGTTCCAATTGACTTGGTTTGCTTAATAGTTTAAGTGTGCTTGCTGACATCATAGGTACAATGCAATTACCGTGTTGGCTAACAGTATTTTTCCATAGACATAACTTGAGTTCAGCAGCTGTCTTCAGCCTTCAGTTCTCTGGTATAAGCAGGTCCTCCTTAATCTATTAAATGATTTTTATAGTAAAAAAAGACAAATTCCCAGACTAAGTTTGTGTGTTGCTGCTATGGTTTTCTAAACCAAGAATCTCACTTTTCTTTGAGTGCTGCCTTGGTACCTAAGTGTTGAAAGAGGTAACTGCACTCAAAATAAAAAGGCAGCTATGAAGCTGATGGTCATGGAGTTAAGGAAACCTAGATGGATAGACTGGACAAGGCAGTGGTGTTTTTCTCTAAGCTGTGAGGGGCCAGGAATCAAAGATTTTGTAATGCATGCTGATTTTTTTTTTTTTTTTTAAGTTGGTTAGCATGTTGGTTTTTAGTCTTGCCAGCAAATGTTTGGACTGCTAATAGAAATGTTTCAGACTTGTAATTCAGCTCGCTGTTTAAAAGGGAGATTCTGGGAGGCAATGGTGAAGTTGCTATTTGTATTATGGTATATAATCACGCTGGAAACGGCACGAAGTAGAAACAGTTCCCTGCTTTTAACAGGAGTATTGAAGTCAGTGGTGTAAGAGCTTGAGTCCTTATAAGTTGGTGGAGGCAATTCAGAGGTGGCTATCAAAATGGGCCAGAGTGGGGCTGCTTTTTATTTGCCCTGAGTTTCTTTGAATAGTGAAATGACAGAGGAACATGAGGGAAAAATCTTCTCTTTACAGAATCCTTTGTGAACTAGGTTGAGACTGCTCTTACTGTGCTGCAGAATTAGTTTAATATAAGAAATAACTGGTACAAATAGTTATCTGGAATTCTGTGGTACCTTGTCGTTGCTGATTTTGGTTAAAACAATCAGATACACATTGGAAATTAAGTTTTTGTTTTGTTTTCAGATGCTGAATGATGATTTAAACTGAACTGTTAAGGTAATAAATCTTCAGAACTATATCAGATGTTGACTGTTCCTTACAAACACATTGTCAAAAAGCACATTACACAGATAAGTTCAAAGTATGTAATAGGAGAAATAACATTAATTTTCTAGGCATCTTAAGGATTTTGTTATTTTATTTGTTGGAGTTTTAAGGAAAAAAACAGAGGAGCTTACTGTGCTGAAAACTACCGTCCTGGTTCTGCAGATACTCTAAATCACATAATCTGTGGGGCTGCAGATGAGTCTTTTTACATAGTCAAAAAAACCTTAGTTGTATAAAGTCTTCGCTGCTTCCAAACAAAAATGCTTTTAAACATGCTTCTTTGCTGTTTCATATCCAGCTTGTAAGTATGTACTTAAATGACTGAGCACATACCCCATTTATTTTGGATTAAAAACTTTACAAAAACATTAACTGCTAGTTAAGCATGACAGCTTCTACTATGGAAGCTGAACGATCTGAGATACTTGCTTATCAGTCCTGGGAAGACTTTCTGTAGCCTTCATGTAGAAGGACCGGTTTGGTTCTAGTTGAAAAGATGCTTTTAATGGTTTGTGGCTGATCTACAGTTGTCTGCCCAGTGAAAGTGTTTTTATGGGCATCAAGTCTCCTAGACCTTACTGTAATGGTCCATGCAGTTGAAATTGTGCAAATTAATGTCTCAGGTTCTGGATGCACAAACTGGATAGCATTAACACAATTTCCTTACTTGTGTTTTGTTTAAAATGTGACTTCATGGAGAATTTCATGATAACAACTGCAATCCTTCAAACTGTGGAAGCTAAAGGAACAAGTGCATAGTACCCGTCAAAACTACACAACTCGGGTTTTTTTATTCACACTGCCTTTTAGGGACCTTGTGATTTCAGTAGGACAGGAAAAAAAAAATTGTAACTTGTTCCTACACTGAAGTGGAAGAACAGGGACCCTTTGGTCTCATGAATGCATTATTTATTAAGAAGATGCTACTATTTAATGGCATAGCTCAAATAACTTGCTTGTTAACCAACAGTAGGGATTAGGGGGATAGGTGGAGACACTAGGCCATTTTAAATATTTCAGCATGAACGTGAAAATCATGTGCAAGTAGGCTGGTGACTCTAGCATGGCTTTTCATAGACATAAAAAGGTACGTGTTCATATCTTGAGCCACAGCAGTCATCCCACAGCTCTGTGAAAGGTAAACGAACAATCCACATGTAGCTCTTAAGCAGTTTTAACATTGTTGTGATACAAACCTGTAGAAATATTAAGGATTTATAAATGTTGTTTTTAATTACACAGTACGAATGAATGAAATTACTTTCTCTGAACCAGTTTTTAAACAAAAACACTGTTCCTTTTATTTTGAAATTTCTTTGTGTTGTGGCTTCAGCTGTAGATTGTGTCTAACAAATAAACATTCAAGGATGTAAAGCTAAAAGAGAAAAAAATTCCTGAAATTTCTCGCTTCCAATGTAGGCCTTGATTTGAAGGCAGCACAGAGTCATATGACTCTCACACTGGCATGTATTGGGTATTAATTCCATAACCATACTCTGCGGGCGATATATATGCCAGTAATGCTAATTACAACTAGCAAGACCACATTCCTTCCTTCGGAGAAGGAGACGGACTAGGTAACTTATGACCCATTTCCATTTTAAATAGATGCTGTTTTCAGAGCAGCCTGTTTTGGCTGAATTACTTTGAGCTCTTTTAGTAACGGGTAGGTATAGGAACAGCAGTTTTCCTCATACAGAAACTTAAGTTTGGGCTCTTTGAAATTGAACTTTACCCCCAAGCAATTAAAACGCTTTTTACAGTATTAGATGACGCTACTGTCATGAGGGCAAACCTTGGGCTGGCACAAAACACTAATGTGCTAACTGCTTTCTTAAAAAAACAAAAACAAAACAAAACAAAAAACAACCAGCCCCCAAAACACCTTTAACACTAAAATCTGACAGTAAAAAAGCTTCATTGGTGCCACTAATTCACCATCCCTGGGCTGTCAGCCAGACTCTTCACTAGCACTTCCAGGCTTTTTGACAGTTTTACCACGGGAAGTTGACACCTACTGACTGAACTGTCAGTGTAGGCCTGGCCTCAGTATTTGGCATCTTGAGTACCGTTTGAAATAGCAACAGTGCATTTGCTTTCGTAGTAGTTGCAATAGTATTCCATTCATCATGGCTGTTCTGCAAGGGGTAAACTGTGAAATACTTTATGTTTGTGTACCAATACCTAGTCACCTGACTTTTAAAACAAAACTACAGCATTTGCATTTGTTCTGTAGATAACTGCGTTCCCTGTGGGTTGATTTAAAATTCCTGGTCTGGTTGCAGTTTTGGGTGAAGCACAGGAGTTATTCCAGTATAACAGATAGTGTCCTGCTTTATTCCTAAAGTTTCCTCATCACTTTTGCATGTTAAAACAGTAACTTCGCTAATGAATTATGGCACTGAAGTGACTAGTTCAAGGAATGTGCTCTGTAAAATTCTCTCACGCTACTTTCTTCCATGAACCTTTTTCAGTGAATGTAAACGAATCGTTGCCCTCGTTGAATATGATGTAATGGCCCATCTGCACAAATGTTGGAGGGTTTGGGGGTTTTAAATGTTTTAAGTGACAGACCAGTAATTCATGCAGTGCGCTGCTTAGGCTGCCATACAGGCTGCAGTCTGTGGCAGAGACACCTCTTAAACATGTGGTATTCTAGAGTCGGTACTCTTACTGTGAGTATCTAACACCTCTAACTACTGTTTAGTGTAGTCCTGCTTTTGTACATGAAGCTTGATGTTGGTGGACTTTAATGCTTTCTAGATATTTGTGTGTAAAATTTTCTGCTCACAACTCTCTTCCTTTTAAATGATTTTCTTAATCTTTACAGGTCTAGGAAACCAGGAGGATCTATTCCCGTAACAATGGCAGCAAAATCAACACTCCTTAAGGTAATACTGCTAGGAGATGGCGGAGTTGGGAAGAGCTCCCTTATGAACAGATACGTCACCAACAAGTTCGATGCACAGCTGTTTCATACGATAGGTGTGGAGTTCTTAAATAAGGAGTTGGAAGTGGATGGACACTTTGTTACGATGCAGATATGGGACACAGCTGGTCAGGAACGTTTCAGGAGCTTGCGGACTCCTTTCTATAGAGGTTCTGACTGTTGCCTGCTAACCTTCAGCGTGGATGACTCTCAAAGCTTCCAGAACTTAAGCAACTGGAAGAAAGAATTCATTTATTATGCAGATGTCAAGGAGCCTGAAAGTTTTCCGTTTGTGATACTGGGTAACAAAGTTGATATCGATGAAAGGCAAGTGTCTACGGAAGAAGCCCAAGACTGGTGCAGGAATAATGGCAACCATCCCTATTTTGAAACCAGCGCAAAAGATGCCACTAATGTTGCAGCAGCCTTTGAAGAAGCCGTTAGAAGAGTTCTAGCCTCTGAAGATAGATCAGATCAGTTTATTCAAACAGATACAGTAAACCTTCATCGGAAACCGAAACCCAGTTCATCTTGTTGTTGACTTTTACTGACTAGCTTGCTCTATTAAAGGATGGGGAAGGTGTAGTAGATAACACAGGGGTTTCACTCCAATATTAAAATTGTAATGTTCTGCTGCTTTCTTGGGGGAGCAAAAGAAAAATTCCCATTTGTGAGTGACCCATTATTGAATTAGTGACACTTTCTGTTTAGGAAAGTGTCAAGTAAAAACATAAATGTAAGAATGTAATTTGCCAACTTTATTCAAATGATAAATACTTTGACTATAATTAAAACTTGAAAGTTCTAGAAGCACTACTTTGGAGAAACTGTTCTGGAATTCAGACACAGATACTTTTATATGTGTATATTTTTATGAAATCAGCATTCCATTTTTGTTTCACTAGAAGTCAGTTTCTCAACAATGCTAGATATTAAACCAGTCTCACTACATTCCTTTTGCTGTGAGTGGTACTTCATCTCTAATGTGTTTATTATAAGTTAATACAAATTACCTTCAGGTCTTCTCTAATTGCCTAATGTTGCTATAATTTGTGTAGGTTTTAAAGTAGGAAATAAATTTCCTACATATTTAATGTCCATTTTCATTTACTATTCTAATGATGTACTAGTTTTTCCAGCAGTTTTATGCAAGATACTGATGACTTTTTAAGTTAATACATGTCTTTGCCTTAAGTCCCATTCTAGCATGTTTCTGATCAGTAAAGTAAAATCTGAGTGACCGAAGTGTAACCCATTTTTAGTTAAGAAAAAGATATGCTTTATTCAGTCAGCTTTAATAGCACTTGAAGGGATCCACATTATGACAAATTTGTAAGAAAACTTTCAGTATGCAGCCTTAAAGTTCCAAACTTCTTGTTCCTGTTAACCCGAGCTATGAATGTGTTTACCAGTAATCTTTGCACTGTGAAACTAAGGATTGGCAATACGTAGAGAACTCAGGAAGCTCTTGACTTACAGTGGATTGTGATAGTTTTCAGCCCTAACACAAGTAAACACCTTACAGCTAGTGTTTGAGCTGAATTTGATCCTTATTTAATTTGCTACTTTAGGATACGGACTTACACATTTAAGACTATGTCTTTTGTATTACTGTACTCATTACACAATGATGAACAGAAGCAAATTCTGTATTTGATGGACAGTCTTTCTGCGGTAATGCAGCTGAAACCACAGAAGGTGTGTTCGAGGCTCTCCGTTGCCGTTAAACGGTAGAATACTTGTATGAGAGGTTGTTGAATGTTGGCTCTTCGAGTACCCGCTCTCCTTGTAATAGCAAACTCGATAGTGCGCTGTTGCTTCAATGTGTAATCTGACTGCTGACAGGCGTGCATGTACGCACACAGTGGACTTCAAAAGGAAGTCTGAGGCCTACAGGACAGGCCATGTTACTTGCTAAACTACACAGACTCTGCTTTCGTTCCAATAGAAAAGCCCTTCTTGAGAGTACAGTAACAGCAAGCGTTTTCTCTTAACCTATCTGTTTAGTCTGTATCAGGTGTAATTACTTGGAAGTAAAGCTTGCAAAACAAACCCTTCTTGTCACTCTTAATACGCTTTTCTGAATGTATTGTATTCTTGCTTGAACCCCCTCCAGGACAACTTTACTCCACAGATCTGCTGTTCCTGCTTAAACGTGACATCTTTTTACCCTTTCTGTGTTCTAAGCCTAATTCATTCTTACAGTCTTGCGTATCCAGCAACAGGACTGTGTTTTAAGCTTCAGTCACCTAACAGCTAAATATAGGTTGAGCTGCTACTTCTGTTATGTTTAATTTCTAGTCAGTGAAAAGATTTGTGAAGAAAACCTTAGCTAAATTCCTCTTAAGCTGAGAGAGCAAAAAGCTTGAAAAACTAAGATTGCTTGCGTTGGGGGCTACTAAGCTAGTGACATGAAATTGTTGTAAAATGCTATTCCCTTACTACTTAAAGCTTCCTTTAATGTTCATTTTAGCAAAGGTAAGGTTGAAACAAAACAGGAGCTGAAGTTACTGTGACCAGAGTACTAGATATATGATTCAAATAAGATTGTTAAAAGGAAACAATTAAGGATGAGAACTGTTGTGGTCTTTCTTGTGCCTAAGAGTTCACCTGCATTTTCCCATCCCATCCCCTTTCCATGTAACATCATGGTTACCAAGCCTCCATCTGAGAAGTAGGTTAAATAAAGTTAAATAAAACTTAATACAATAGAAGTGTATTACTTGTGCCCTGAGAGCTGCTGTACCGCAACTGTGGCTAATGGCGATAAAGGGGGGGGGGCGATAAAGGCAGCATAGGAATTACACTGAGATCAGGATTTGGTCTGTGGAGGAGACCATCAGGTACTTGAAAGAAGCAAAAGTCCTGTGAAAAGCAGATGTAGATGATGTGTGTGTGTGTGTATATATATATATAAAAAATCCTTTGTCATGCTTAATAACAAATAGGCATTTTAAGCTTGATTTTTATCTGTCATTCAATATGGAGGTAAGGTAGGTGCTGGTGGCTTATGTTTCAATTCTCTGATTCATTTCAAGTATTAATGTACCTTAAGTATTAGGGAGTCCTATTAGCAATATTGAGTTCTGTGCAGTGACAGATCATGCTCTGTGATGCATATGCAATGTTCCAGCTCTCCTTTAAACTGAGGAGCAAGAATACTGCTATGGCAAACTGGTACAGTTTGGAACATTGGAACAGACAGCAAAGTGGGAAGGGGCAGAAGAAACTGTAGCTAGGACACAGCTAACAGCTCATGTTACAACTCCTGCTTTCTTGTACTGCAAGAGGTTTCATTAGAATTCTTATTCCTAAGCCTCTGAGACTGGGTATGAACATCATACTTGCAAAGGAGTCTCCTGCTTTGTCCATTGACCTTCACATGGCTGGAAACGCTCACTGTCTGATGTGTGCTAGAACTGCATCTTTCGTACTAGAGCAGATGTGTGACTTACAGCTGATCACAAGATAACTTTCATCTGTCACTTCCAGATAGCAGTCTTTCGGCTTACTGTAAAAAGTCACAAAACAAAGCATAAACAAGTGTTCCACCATACACGGGGAGATCTCGGCTACCCGGCCAAGACCCTTCAGAATTCTGTCATGAGACAACATTCCTCACCACAACCTCTACGGTGATTAATGAAATGAGTTTGCACATAATTCTCCCTTTCCTGTGGCCAGTAAGAGTCTGTTTCCCTAATGCCTAGATGGGCCTATGAGACTGCATTTCCCATTTACAATTACTCTATTCAGAAGAAAAGGGGAAAGACATGGGGGGCATAAGAACAGGCACCGTTCAGCTAACTGCCTTCAGGGATCAGGCGAGAGAGAAAATGCTTTTGTTTTACACAACTTACTACTGTGTGCTGGCAGGAAAGAATACAATTCTCAACACACACACACACACACACACGGTTTCTGAAAGTGGTGAAAACTTAGCACTAATCCTTTATCTCTGCTAAAACTTGTTAACTGCCATGCATATGATTATTTAACGTAAGTATTTCCTCGGTGAATCTTAACTGTTAGCATTTTTCCAACCATCAGTGCTGCTGGGGAGGAGGCAGAAAATAGTGGAAGGGCTCCAACTTAATGACTCCATGTCATACGAATGAGATCACTTTACCTCAAGTGTGTTTCTGTTGCTTTCATCTATAAAGCAAAAAAAAAAAAACCCACCAAACCCCAAAACCTCAGTTGATTTACGTAAGATTACATGACATTATCAAAATGCTGTATGATACAGTTTTTATGAAATAATACTGCAAAGAGAAGTACTCCCATCTTTATGTGCCACCCTGCCAATAAAGGTAGCCTTACTATGACCATCTAGTTTTCTTCTAAATCATTTCAAGTATACTCAACAGGCGTCCATACTGCATCATTCCAGGCTTTATTTAAGGTAAATATTGCAACCTTCATATCGTGTTCTTTTTCTCATGGAATATTTTACAGTGACAGCTTAGCATTAAGTATAAATAACAAAGACTGACTATACATTTGAAGCACATATATCTGTGGTCCCTTCAATTATACAGACTATGCAAAACGTACTTCCTAGAACAGCATGCCACTTCCTTTGAAAATTACTTTTCAGACATGTAAAAAAAATGTCCAAGAAGATAGCTTATACAGATTTGCTGCAAAAGGAAACGCTACTTAAGAGATTGTGAAACCAACCAAAACATTAGGTACATATATGCCAAATGACCCATTTAAAAATTACTACTTAGGAATGATGGTAAGTTTTGCAAAAGGGTCCCGTTTTACAACGGAATAGTAGCCAGACAGGCCAAATAATGCCCTTCTGAAACCTCAACAGATAAGAGTTTCATGGTTCAAAGATCATAGTCTAAATATATTTCAAAAAGAAAATTTCAGCACTTGCCAAGATACTGGAAGGAAGTGGGTGTAAACATGTAAATTTCATTTAGGTTTTTTCCATGTGTGAATTAGAACTGAAGTCAGGGCAGGCATAGCTGTTCTAGTCTACTTTATTAATTCACTTTGTTGATGCAACACTGCAGCTAAACATGTATTGCACTAAACATCTGGTAAATTTGCAGTTGTAAGCTTTGAAACTTGGAATTTTTTTTCTCAAAACTTCCTTAAATACTGAAGACAAAGCTTTGATGATGTATCCTCTTTTCTTTTTATTTAGCACTTTATAATACATACATGACATACTACAATATTAATATAGACCTGATTTAATACCTCAAAGAGTAAAGTTAGTGGTTTGTCTGCAGAGTAAGTTCTCCAGCAAAGGACTGTAAGTAGAAAGGTTTATTACAAAATTAACCACTTAGACCAAACAGTCAAGAATCTCCTTTTGCTCATATTAAATCACATGACTGGAGATGGCTTTTGTGTTTAGATCTTATTTCCTCCCACCCTGTATAACAGGCTTACATTTTGCATATGCATTGACACCCACATGTCTCAGTTTGTACCTATTCAGCCCCTGACATTTTTAAACTCAGTTTTCATAATACACAAAAGGAAACTTCTTAAGATACACATTTTAATCAGAAAAGCTTGGCTGTTCTTACCCGTATCAGGGGGAAAAAAAACCCAACAAAAAACCAAACAAAACTTTCTTCAGCATTCAATTTGTCAATCTTCAGGAAGATGAATATCAAGCATGCTGAGAACTAATCAGAAGAACTACAGTTCAAATAATCAGTAAAGTATGGAAAAAGCACTCACTCAGGAAAGTTACTTGTTCAGCTTAAAAGGTGTTTCTTCCCAAGGAACTGGACTTTCCTTTCAAAGGCACTGGATCGAATAGGAGAATTGAGTTCATAAAATGGATTCATTGCAAACTGGGGAAAGAAGGAAAACTCGTCAATAAGCACAATGTCCAGCACTGCAAAGTGTTAGTTACTTCAGATGACAACTACTAGTAGCTTTCAGCCTATTTAGTACCACTTAAAGAGCATGGAGCTCCGAAGCAGTCACTTGGTTTCCAGGCCCTTGCACTCTCCCCATACGTGTGCAGGGCCGTCCCTTAGTACCAGCAGCTCAGAACAAATCCATCATGACGCTGGTGGAAATTTGTTTTGGAAATCAGCGTCATTTGAGCTCCTGCAGGAGGCAGAGGTGGCCATGATCTCCCAGTCAGTGCTCGTGATTGTCCCACCTACAGGAGGTATCGCCAGGCTGTGAGAACAGGGGCTACTTGTTCCGAGAGCAAAGCACTTCCATCAGCCTTCTGCAGAACCATCCTTTGCTTTCATTATCACCATTAATGACACAATACTGCCCCCAATCACTGGGCTGAAATGAAGAATAAATTCTGAAAGAGCACAGTTTATAACAACTCAGCAAAATCTATTCTGTTTAATGGAAAATACAGCCTTTATGTCACATGTTGCCAACTCTGGCTCATGTGGACTGCACGGGTGCTTCTGCACTTATACTGGCCCCCACACGAAAACATGCTAATACAGGCATGCCTGAGGACGTACAGCAGAACACACTTAGAAGTACTGCAGTGAGACCATAAGAAGCAGGTTCTTACCTTTATATACAAGTCATACACGTCATTAAAGAAGTTCTTAATTCCATCTTCTTGCCTTACATCATGAAGCATTATAAATCTCATATGTAAAGCAATTAAGGAAGAGTTAACTTTTCCAAAGGAGAGAGACATTTAACATATCCTGAGATAAGCATTTATACCTAATTCTGCATATACTTGAAATGTTTAGCTGTACATGAAATAGCAGTGACTATAGGAGGAAGCATTAGCAGTGCACAGGAGGAAGCATTAAAAAAAGTAACTGGAGCAGTGACATTTAGAAAGCGTTACCTTTACATTTTAAAATTCCCCTTCTTGAAAATAAAAATAATCACCTGTCTATTCAAGGTTATTCTTTTTAAAGCTAGAAAATTCTGTATGTGGACGATGCTCTCAGCACCTTTGCCATATACCCCTGAAGTTAAAATTACATTCAATGTTACTTCCTGTGTACCACAAATGTTTCACAACACACACTGCTATGAGTATCTGCACGTAAGATCAAGCCTTCACACCACATTTTCAAGATGGGTGTGACTGACACCAAGCATATTTATCCCTGCTTCTCCTCTCTAGCATTAGCAAAGGGATGGGAACAGAGAATCATATCAGCTTGCTCAGACCTTCCCGTATTATTCCCCTTCTCATTCCTTTTTCCTCCACTCCATGCGAGCTCCACATTTCATTAGGCTATTCCAGCTCCAAAAAGAAAAATCCATCTTTCCAGTTGGTCCCAATTTTCAACAACTGCTGTGCCTCCCAGTTTACTTCATTCTGAAGCTGGTGACTCTCTCTAACAATAATAGTGGTGAACAGCCACAGAAATCTATTCCAAACTCATTTCATATGACTTAACTCTTTCTGGCAAAAGACTTCCTATGTAAATATAAGGAAAGAGAAGAGGGAAGGATATGTCCAGCTGTGACAAAAGCAGAAACAAACCATTCGTTAAACTTGTCCACTGTCTTCAGATACATGTTGTTAGAAAGCCACATGTTCTCATCTACTAGGTCAAGAGCAGCATGGGCAATGAACTGGTTGAGATGGCGATGATCATCCTAATGCATTCCAGAAGACAGAATTAGTAATTCAGTGAAAGGAGTGAAATAAAACCAATAATTTGCTCAAGCTGCTAAACAACTAGTGCTTGCGTTACGTATAGTTACACATAGCCTTCTTTTCTGCCACATATGTGCCACCCTGTAATTACATGAAGCTACTGTATATTGTCACGATACCTGATTTCAAGGGACAAAAAAGGTCATAATAAAAAGGTCATCACAAAACCAGTCTTGAGAGCAGCAAAACCCATAAAACCTACATTTATAGCTCAGGAATGAATTCAAGTGTGAATTCTTTCATTTATCAATGGATACTCCCCACTGCAAACTTAATTCTACAACAGAGGCCCCGATAGAAGTCTTTTTCTCTGCTTTTCAGTCACCTGTTTTTGTGAAATTTACAGGGATTTAGCATTTTTTGGACCACAACTTCTCTGTCAAATTTGGCAGAAATTGAACAAGAGGTTACAATGCGTAAAAGTTGGGGGACAGATGGGGAAAGCAGAGAGATACGGAGGACAGATATACTGCTAACATTCTCACCTAAAGGTTCTGTTTTTTCAGGTAATTTGCCAAGAAACATAGGATTGTTTTATTGTTTTGGGGTGTGTGTGTATATCTTTTTTCTAAGAGCATAATGCAGAAAAACATCCTGCAACTGGTATTAAATACATGCTTGCAGATGTAAATTGCACCTCTTCCTATAATAAACGTGAATGGCCTTCATAGAGCGATCACAGTGTTTGGCCCTAATACTACAAGAGTTCTGTGGGGAAAGAGCCATTTACTTTGTACACTAACTAGAACACCAGAGGACGTCTGCCAAGAAGACTTGGGACTAAACCATAATCTAAGCTTCTGTTAGACTGGAAACATAAGTAGCCTTGCACCATTTCTCAAAACATAGGGATGCTATTAATGCCACTCTCGCACCTCTCCAGTGCGCTATGTTTTTCCCCCAGATCAAGTTTGGCTCAGGGCATTAACAACTTCACAAGTTCCATTAGACCATTCTGAGGAGGAGACTAAGTAGTGAAGTTTCAGGGGCAAAAGCTTGTGCTGATTTACCACGTACGTTATGCAGACCACTTACTTCAGGCAGCTGTGCATCTGCACTGAATTCATGTCTCAGAAACAGAAGTGATAGCTGCCGAAACGTATCAACGTCTACTACTTCTCCTTCAGCGCACGTCAAGTTTAGATTCTCTCTTAGGAGAAAATTTAGTATTTCAACCTCAACCAGACAAGAAGCTTACCCAAGCCAAGTTAATTCCATTAGCAGAATGCAGAAAATTACTTTTTCCACTCTCTGACACATCCTCACCCTCACCAAGTCTAGTCTGACTAGTCTTATCTATGATTTTTTGTGGGACACTAGTTCAAAATACAGATGACATCACACTGTTCAAATCAGTGACAGCATATGCTTCCATTTTTGGACACACTCACAGACCCACACACTTTTATTCTGAAGTCTGTTTTTAATTTGATGTAATAGCACAATGGACAGATTTATTCTTTTCCCACTGGAAACATTACTTACATTCCTCACATTTTCAAACCTGCACTTATCAATACAAGTTTTAAACCTTTCATACTTAAAGGCAAGCATGACTATTGAACATGATTAAAAAATAAGACTCCTTTATAGCATAAAAAATAAAGGTCTGATTGGGGCTTTTAAATTTATCTTCCTTACTTTATTATTGTACACAGATGGCTTAAAAGAGAGAACAACAGTAAATAGCATTAGATAATGAACAGTTATTATAAAAGCTCTAAGAGCAATATATTCTTCACCACACAGCATAAAACATTGAAGGAAAGCATGTTTTATGAAGAACTACTATGATCTGGCAAAGAATTTGTAAAGAAACTCAAGAATTCCAGAGTTCTACTCCCTGTAACAGTTTCTGTGAAAAAAAGAAAAAAACAGTGGATACTAGTAACACTTTTAACAACGTGCTGGTCATGCTTCTAATACACGGTAAAATTACCAAAGAAAATGCACCATAATTACATCACAGAAGTATCACAGGGGAAAAAACACACCTTGGACTCTACTTTTCCAGGAGGCAGAAATTCCATTTCAAATATGGGATTATCATGATGACCAACTATCACAAAATAGAAACTTCCAGACATTCTTCAATAGAGCCTTCCTTACAGAAAAAAAAAAAAAAAAAAAAAAAAAGAGAGATAGACACGCTTCACTGATGAGTCTATATACCAGCTCTTAATCTATCTGAAAACGCTCCTAAAAATCAGCCGTGCTTCCTATTCCTATTTACCACAGGCTAAAGAGAGGCAAACAGTTTCTTAGGTATGCACATTTATACTCAAATCGGGGGGGAAAAATATCCTTGGAAAGCAGAGCATCGCCTGGAAGTGAATCTAGTTACTGCTACCTAAAGACTCTTACTCTACAACTGACTGATGGATTTAACCCCTGGCAGCTCTCCCAGTGACTTGGACGGCAACGACGCCATGCAGTAACGCGGCGCACCCGACCCCGAGCGACACCGTCCGTCTCGCCCTCCAAAGAGGCGGCAGAAAGGGGAAGGGCGACAGACGGCGGGCGTGGCACAGTCCCACGGCCCGGCTCCATCCCCAGGGACTCCAGAGT